ACTTACGTTGTCAGTATTTTCAAGTCCAAGCAATTCCGTTTCTGATTTTTGAGAAGACTGATTCTCTGTTTTATCGGCGACGTCGTTGTTGCGTTTCTCGATATCTGTAGAATCGTTATTTACCGACGTCGGGGTTTCATCTTTTCTTTGTATGAATCTATTTCCAACTGATTTACTTTTAGCTATGTCTGAGTGGGAAACGTTTTTACAGAAGCCCACTTTCTGGGCTTCTGTACAACGCCCAGAAAGTGGGCTTTCATTATTCCTAGAACTTGTACTTGGGAAGACGACAGTAGAATCTTCCAGACTTTCCGAGACTGTTACAATTTCGATGTTTTTGTTTTGTGCCTTCCTTCTACACTTACTGAGAAATAAGCACCATGTTAAAGCAACAATGAATAAGAAGCAGAATACGCTAACAATAGTTAAGCCAACGATATCTTCCGTCTTCCGTAAATTTAAGCTCAACACGCCGGACTCAACGTAAACCACAACGATTGATGCAACAACGAAAATCCATAAAATCAGTCTTTCTGAAAATTATAAAAAAGGTGACTGAGGGTTATAATAATGCACTATTGACTATATCTATAAAAAAAAAAGCACAACTAAAGCATAATTTTCGTTAAAAATTGGAGCCATCAAAAATATGCCGATTTATCACGGGAACACGGATAAGTTATAGGCTTGATTATAGGAACGGCCGTGTCGGAGGAAAATTAAAATAAACTATGCAGGCGTCGTATAACTAAACTTACCTATGATCTATTATTTTCCCATACCCTCAAATTCAGAGATAAGATCGTAACTTTATTTAGATCTCACTACTGTAAAGAAAATATTTATCGTTTATCTTTTAAGATAGTTTTATTGTCATAAAATTTGAGTGAGTAATAAAAACGAAGTTTGAGTGTTTTTTAGTAACCACATAAATGAATATTGCAGCGCCACAACAAATCATGTTCAATAGCGAAATCGTTTGTTTATACGTGTTTTGCCTTTCTATTCTCGAAGACAAAAATATAAATAAATGTTGTCATTCCGAACCTTTTAAAAAAGCGAACAAAAAACAGACGATCCACTATTACCCACATTAAAAGTTTTTAACTAATTTTCCAGTTGGTAAAGTCATTACAAAGGTGAAAATTTATAACTTAACCATAAAATGAATGTTGTGCACTGTAATAATCCTGATGTATACTAGCTTGATCCTGTTATCCACCACAAAATATACTCAACACTGGTGGGAAGCAATAAAAGACGAGATATTTATTGCATTTCACAATAATAAAACAAAAGTTCGTGTACATATAATATATATAATATTACATATTAAAATACAATTGAATCGAACGTACATGTGCGCATTGTTGCGTCCTTCGATCGTCCATAAATGCGACAGGCAAAGATTTGACAATAGTATAGAACGCACTCACAAGTCTAGGACTCGTTACAACTGAATATATTTTTGATGTAGAACAAAATCGATTTTTTAGCAACTTTTATTTTCAAGAATATAACATGGTTCCAATACCATACATACATGAATATAAGAAGCATTTATGTAGTCTTCGTCACCTTCTTCACTCAGCACAACACGGGTGGAATCGTCTAAAATATGTTTGGAAAATCAATATGAGTGATGCCAAATTTTATTGACCTTTGTTGGCATTGTAAGTCTAATTGGTATAAAGTAACTTATGGTTCATGCGCGATGTAGAAATTTTCTGTCCTTTTAACAATAGTGGTTACTTGTTTGTAAAGTACCTCATAATATATGCCTTATTACAATATGCCAATTGCACTCTTGACACTACGTGCTAACCTGTATCTTACCTTCAGCTTATCCTCGCAATTACCTGTAACCTGAGCGATGCCTGTAGCAAATTTACCATTTTTCTATTGTATTGCGAGTTCAAAATGAAAAGAGCTTAAACGACAACATTCATCTAAAATTATGTTTTCATCATGTTCGAACGAGATTCTGTTGTTTCATTACTCAACTTCACAGCTTCTAAAATATATATTTTACATAAAGAAATGTAGCCATAGTATACATCCTTTAATAAATATTCCGTCAAGAATTTATTGAATAATTAATAAATTGCCCAGAAAATATGATGTTGATTAAAAGAGGCAGAAAATATGATGTAGATTAAAAGAGGCATCAACTCTCAAGTAGTTGACATTAAATTTTTACTTCAACTTGGATCTTAAACTCTCGATTGTCACTCTTTTTCAATCTGTTGTAAGTACATAAAAAGAAGCTTTGCATCTATCCTGGTTTCAGACTCTATGTCTACTGTCTCATTTCGAACGTTTTCATAAGTGTTTACGAAATCTGAATACTGTAATAAACATGAATAAATTTTTCAAAGCTCATGAAACAAACAAAAATTGAGTATTTTAGAAACACTAAGTTTTTACATGAGATTCACCATATTATTGAGTATTATTAAATGTAGCACGTCGGATTCGTACGAGAATAATTTTTCTGTCGCCTTACTCTTCGTATCTTTGCCTCCAGGGTCGACTTGCTTGGCAAGCGCATTAGTACATCTGTTGATCTATCATTCAATACTTCACCTAAAATATATCTTGTCGATGTATTTGATGGTGTTGATGCTGCTTCTTTTAATGTTGCACGAATGATCCCAACTTCTGTCTTAATGCTGTCGCCAGAATGTCTGTGATATCCTAGTTCTTTTATTACATTTTCACCGATCGTAACAACAGTCGATTTACATCAACAATTCCTAAACAGACGGCAGCGTCAATGAATAGCATCTGAAACCCGATCATTTCGCTTACAGAATTCGTGGCCTTTGTAAATCAGTAAGTCGTTTCCTCTTGCGGTCTTGAAAAAGTAGGCACCATGTTTCCAACTTATTTTCGCAAAGGGACTTGTCATATTCGCATTGGCAACGTCCTAAAGGAACAGTTTAGAATTGTCAGCGAAAAAAAAAAGACTTTTTTTCAACCCTATAATAGCATGGAAGGATAAGGGTGTATATGTAAATACGCTAATATCCGTAAATGCAAATGCCCATAGGTATAGATGTTTATGGGTGCAAATGTCTGTGGGTGCAATTGTGCGTGGGTGTGAAAGTACACGGGTGCAAATGTATGCGGGTTCAAATGTCCGTGGATGCAAATGTACATGGGTTGAAATGTCCATGGGTGCAAATGTCCAGGGTGCAAATGTGCGTGGGTTCAATTTTACATGGGTTCAAATGTACATGGGTTCAAATGTCCGCGGGTGCAAATGTCTGGGGTGCAAATATTCATGGGTTCAAATGTACATGGGTTCAGATGTTCGCAGATCCAAATGTACATGGGTTCAAATGTCCGCGGGTGCAAATGTCTGGGGTGCAAATATTCATGGGTTCAAATGTACATGGGTTCAGATGTTCGCGGGTCCAAATGTACATGGGTTCAAATGTACGCGGGTGCAAATGTACATGGGTTCAAATGTCCGCGGGTTCAATCTCTATGCGGGTGCTAATATACATGGGTGGAAATGTATGGGTTCAAATGTCCTTAAGTGTAAATGTCCATAGATGCAATAATATGCAGGTGCAATTGTCCTGGGCTCGAATTACGGGTTCAAATGTAAGGGTGCAAATGTACGTGAGTTCAAAGATAATAGAACACATTTTCTTCTGGCATTCTGCGCCTGCTTTCGAACCAAATTTTTTTAACAATGGAGAAAATCTGTTCAACAGATGCCGATGTTCCGGCAAATAAAATCAACGAGTTTCTTCAAATTTGAAAAGCTAATATTTCTGTTAGAAAAAACGTTAACCATCTTTGTCCACTCAATTTCAACCGGCAAAGTAAGTCAAATTGCATTCGAAGCATGCTCAGATAAATATCTCTTTATTAGTATTCGTCGAAAAGTGCATCGTTATTCAAAACCTGACTAGCTAACCAAACATATTATTTATCAATTTTGCAGACCAAACACTTCAGTCCAGTTTATTTCATCCTTCAAATTTGTCCATATGTGGGGCCTGACAGCATTGTAGGCTTCGTCATGCAGCAGCTCTATATACGATAGACATTTTTCGTAGAAATCGCAAACATCCTTTTTAAATACAGTTACGTCGATTTCGCCAGAGCGTTCCAAGGATTTCAGAAGTATGTGCGGCCCGCCAATGACTTGCCACCTTTAATTTTGGCCCGCGAGCGACTAAACCCTTGCCCTACGGAGTCCAACAAACCTTCGGCACATAACAATCTCAGGCGGGAATTGAACTTACGACCCCATGGAGGGTAATCTGAGGTGCGATGGTAAGCTTATTCCTAAAGCTTAGCGGCATGCACCACTCGCCGCTTAGATGTCACAGCTGCGTCAAACATCTAGAAAATAACATGCATCATATATATATACTCGGATACGACGATTTCAAACCGCCAAAATGTCGTGAACCTGAGAGTTGTCTCGTACGGTCGTACCTGTATCATGATCGCTTTTTACCAAGCGATCAAAAGTATTTTAAGGCTTTATTTTAGCCACTTAGCTAATGCATTGCTACTATACTGGGCTAATATTAGCAAAGTTTTTCAATGCAGTCAGAACGGGTGTATTGTGCGATTGTATGTAAGAGATTGACTCTAAATCCTAACATTATCAGTTGTTGCCATCGGTATGCAGTCGTCTTGACAAGTCAATATTAGATACTTCGCATTGAACCGAGATTAAGACTGTGGTATTATGCCTCGAACTTTTTGGTTTGTCGGATAGTTTACTGGAAGCTAGAAATTATGACGGTTACAATTAGTGTGGAGCAAATACCGACTACCATTCACATTCGATAAACTAAGTTTTGTGATCACGCGTTAGAAACATGATCGGCTCGTGGCGATTCAGAGTTATCCTGGAGTAATCGGGGTAATTATTTGATTACAAATGATTACCTGGTGTTTTCGTCAAATATTTCGCGCGGAAGCCACGAGCGACATCGCTTCAGTCGCAACAGTGTGCGGATAAATTTTGTCGTAGGATGATCAATGGATTTTCTTGTTACCTTCGGAGCAATATTCAGGTGAGTGAAATGTACTTGATAACCCATGCTTTTAACTGGTGTTATATATTTTTCGATAGTAATAAAAATGGAATTTGTAACCTAATACATAAAAATAAATCGGATCACAGAAATAAGTTATTGTTTTGTGATTTATAAGTCTCACGGGTTGAAATTGCATACTCATCTCGTTTTTGAATTGAATACAAATTCAACCAAAGTTCCTTTTATGAGTAGCGGAGAATACAAAATTGATCGATTTCGCAGCTTATTCAATTCTAGGTCCAATTATTTCAAATAGAATCGATGAAACATATACTGTAGAACGCTCTGAATAATTCTCCAAGTTTGTCTTGTTTTCATTTACTCAACGCTCCACCATGTTAGTTTTGTAGGAATAGCTCTTCTATCTCATCATTGAGATTTTCGATGTTTATCGGTTGTCGCCCGTTATCCCTACGGGCGCTCCAGAAGTGTGTGTAAGCAATGTTGTTCGCCTATTTTATATCAAGTTGTGTAAAGGGACTGAAACCGGTACTCCTGTAGTATGCGAACCAATATGGTGGACACCGGGACGTAGGATGTGTACCCGGTTATTGTTAGGCCATAATTTTATTCCAATTTTTGGTTTTTTATTTCTATTATGAGTTTGGGGACTAGACAAATTATGGTTTAACCCAACCTTAACCGGTATTCATGTACGTTCTGGTGTCCGCCATCTTGGTTCACATACTACGGGAGTACGCTGAAACCTATGGACATGGGGATATTCACTTTGCTAATACGGACAGTCCCCGAATCCGGATCTTTCGGGTTTTCATATTCAAACGCCTAATTCTCTATTTTGAATCATTAGTTCAATTTTGAAGTTTCCTTTTATAAAATCACTTTTATAGATTTAAATATAATATGAAAAAGAACTATAACACCATAATAAACAATATTGATTGGCGAATAACCATTAGTCGGCCAAAAAAGGTGGCGTTTAAAGATGTAGAATTATAATTTCTGAAAAGACCGGACCCAGATATTTTTAAAGTTTTGTACGCGGATCTTAGGTGAAAATAGTTGAGTTGCTCAGGCCTAGCTGATCCTGTCGTTGCGTACGTAACATACCAGTCTCGAACGCGATTCTTTTAGTTTGGTACAATAAGCCTCGTACCAAAATTAAATTTAACCGTAATCTCAACAAATTCCTTTAAGTTAGTTCCACAAAGTTATTTTTATCTAAAACATCAATTTATTTTCAGTTTGCTTGTGGCAGTATCAGGTGGGCCAGATTGTATTTAAACAACGGCCGGATTGGGCCCGCGGGCCGTACTTTGCCCATGTATGACTATATCAATACCAAAACAACGCAACGAAAACAATTTAAACGTAATATCGGAAGTGTGTCTCTACGCTATCTATACACGACAAGCTTAATATCAATCTAATATATATCTTTCTTAATGATAAGACGAACCTCAAGTACACAGCCAAGGCCCAAAGCCAAGGTCATTTTTAACGTTGTGATATTTTATTTATTGTACGTAGATTTAGTTTAGTACTATCAGGCAGGAATCATAGTGTTATGCGAAAACTTAATATCAATATCTTTGCTTTTTAGATGCAGACATATGAAATATGAAGTTAAAAGAAATAGAACAAATTGAGGAGATCTACAATACAGGTAAACAATGTTTTAAATATTTTAGTTAACTTCCAGATATCCATTAATTTCCGTAAACAAATGTGACAATTCTACACATTAGTGACTGGAAATGATTTGTCATATATTCTATAAAACATTGCGTACTTTAATTCCTTAGTATGTGTCAATTAAATCACTAAATTTACTAGTGAAGCAGTTTTTTCCAAATTGCCTTATATTTTTAGGTGAAAATAGCGAGAAGAAATGAAAGTAAAGGTTTCACTTGCAGATTGCATAATAAGGTACAATATATACACTAACACATCCTTCTCGTAAGTAATCTATGTAGTTTTTGGCGTCATAAATCCCAGTTAGCAGTCATAGTAATCGTCCCATTAATATTCATAAGCGTTAAATTCTAGAGATGTATCGGATATCTGCAATATAGATATTTATATCGGTATTGGCTAAATGTAGAACCAATATTTCTGATACATTTAGGTTTTTAATCTGATCCAGTAGCATTCAAAAAGGAAGTTAAAATATGGACGTTGAAATTATTTTTTTTGCGTGGAGTTATCGTGTTCGTGGTATCTGTTGCCTCTATAATTCTGAGCTATTTTTGTCCCCACCCATGAGTGTAGAAACAGAATTCTGATTAAAGATGTACCAATGTATCGATATCGGGTATCGTTATCGACAATATCGGCCAATTTTTCTGTATTGGTATTTGTGTTTGTATCGGATAAATTTAGACCTGATATTTCCAATTTATTTAGCTTTTCATTCTGATCCAGAATCATTTGAAAACTAAGTTAGATGATTGTTGAAATAGACTTTGCTCGAGGTATTGTGTTCGCCGTATTTGCCTCGTTAACTCTGAGCCATACTCGTTTACACCCCAGCGATAAGAAACTGGAATGAAATTCTGGTCCGTTTTTATATATTTATCTGCCAAACTAGCTTTATATAACTAGCCAAACCAATTTTTATATTGCGTTTTTATGCGTATATATATATATATATGTATACGAAATAACTTGAAATAACAAAAAACATTAGCTGTGATTGAAAGGCTGTATGTCGTCGAATACATAAAAACATTCATTCAGAAATGATTATGCTTGAAGCTTATGCTAAAACATAGATCACCTGGAAAGTTAAATGGGTTTAGCCACCCAATAAGGCGACCCCAAAATATCGATTTGTAATATATGCTCGGAAAATCGTTTTATTAGCCTGAAATCCGGTTAGATGCAACTAGCTCACACTACATGTCTGTTTTACAGAACACTGCTTGATTCGACAGTTTTTCATTGCATCAAAACATGAAGATCGAAGATACGAATAAGCAAACGAAACCAGAGAATGATCAACAAGTAAATTGTATTTAAATATTTCATTTGAACTTTCGATATCCATTGACACAGTAATTACGGACCGACAGTAATTTGTCGTATATTCCAGAGTTGTAAAAAAACCTTATTGGTATATTGTAAATTTTTAAACTTGCTCAATTTAAAACCGGCTGACATCTTATGACTAATATTTGAAATTTATAAAATTGAATGACTATATGTACCTGACTACTAAAGTTATTTTTTAAAAGTAGCTTACATGTGTGTTTCTATGTGTCTTTCTCCCTCCCCAGTGGGCAAGATAGCACACTTTGAGAATTTCTGTTACAAAGTTGCGATACTACCGTGTTTTCCCGAAAATGAGACCTAGGCTGGATTTTTAAAGTGATTTTAATATAAATAAGCCTTCCCCATAAAATAAGACCTAGACAATAACGAGACATTTTTTTTTACCTAGTCGATAGCAAGAAATCTCTCCTATGCGTTTTAATTTGTTTTGCAGTTGTCTTGGATATAAAACGTGGTATTTATAAGTAAATGGATACCGGTATTCATATTTCGTATATTTCAAAATCTCGCAATTTTCTACTTTGTAAGTTTGTTTTCGGCAAATTAAAATATAAGACATCCCCCTAAAATAAAACCTAGTGTTATTTTCCGTAAGAAAAAATTGAAATAAGATAGGGTGACCATACGTCCTTTTTTTTGCATTGAAAATTTCACGTCGTCAGAGGACGTTCTGAAATATCGAAATGTCCTCCTTTTTCGTGGGATTGAATATTTAATATTTTCTTATGTGTTTGTGATATGTTAAATAAGGATCTTGTAAACGTAATCACTACGCATATGACAAGCAATGCAATGCACCCTGGCGTTTCGTTCTCTATTTGGCTTTACGGGACGGGTTCTCAACACATGACTCGATATCACCAACTTATATTAACAGTAAACATAGAAAGCACCCCACAAGTGAACAGTTACAATAAGACTACAACGTTTTATAAGGATAACCAAGGACATGAAACATGGGTGGCGCTATCGGGTATATTACGTCATATCGTAACACCTGGGCGTCAAAAGTCCCCTGGAACAGTCCTATATAATAAAAAAAACATTTCTATTACCCAGTCTACTAATTGAGAAAATAAATCAAAATTACGATACTTCATCGAAGGTATAAAATCCTGGGAGTTTAAACAACTCATTAAATAGCTTAGCTGGTTGTAGCTTTACTGGACATGTCAATGACTGTTACATCTTGATCACTCGTGGGAAGGTGGTCAAAACGGGGGTTTTGTGGGGCGTTTGCGAGGTTGCGAGTCAATCAGGTCACGCCGCGTGTTTTAGATGTCGTTTTACGGCGTTTCCGGGACGGGTGAGCTATGGTCCGAGCATCGGGAAATGTTTCAGGTAAATTTGACGGTGAGGACTGCGCCCTCCCGCCCTCTGTGACGATAAAACGCGTGCCAGATTTCGCCCGGTTGTTTGAAACACACCACAAACGTTAGGATAGAATGAATCGCTAGTATATAAACGAAAGCAGTACAGTGCTACTGAAAACCCCGCAAGTGGGTAGTTTCAATATACGTGAGTTCAGTATATTTAGTGCATTGTGTAATGTATATCTCAGGCCTTGGAAAATATGGTTCTACCAAAATAATCGTCTTCCATTTAGGGTTTGGGAATATGGTCACCCTAATTAAGACCCAGTCTTATTTCCGTAAAACACGGTATGATATCCGTATTTTCTTCTTCACTTGAGAGCAAAATCTTTATTATTTTTAGTAGCATTTTAATTTGTTTAATCCAGCAGTTCTTAACCTGGGGTAAATTTTTTCGGGGGTTAAGTTTTGTCATTCTTAGGGGTAAATTAACGATGTGTATTAGCCTATTATTGTATCACAATGTCGAGACTCTTGCAGAAAGCTATTCTGGCAACGGTTATCGAGACCGCATGCGGATTGTCGCTAATTCAGCGTTGGAGTGAGGAATGTTAGCTCAACAGTGATTCGTTGCGGTTAACAATTCACAAAGTTTTAATTAAATAAGCTTCATATAAGTTACTAGTTCCGAGTTGGGAAAAAACACGCGTGATAATAAAGATCTGATAGATGTCATGAGAAGGATCATTAATTCGTAACACGTTTGAAAGTAATTTTAAAAGCTCTACACAGTACGAAATATTTGCACTGTAAGAAAAATTCGATATTCGTTCTGGTTAACAATTAACAAAGTTCTAATTAAATAAGCTTCATATAAGTTGCTAAGCTCAAGTTGGGAAAAAACACGCGTGATAATAAAGATCTGATAGATGTCATGAGAAGGATCATTAATTCGTAACACGTTTGAAAGTAATTTTAAAAGCTCCACACGGTACGAAATATTTGCACTGTAAGAAAAATTCAATAATGAGATTATAGCGCTGTATTGAGTCTGAATTATATCAAGATTTGATGTAAACACAAGCTTCCGCGGGCAATCAGCAGTTGTTTTTATTAGCGTAACGGGTTCTTGGAGATGTGATACGTAGCCTACCTGTTTTGACAAAAAAAATGCGCGTTTTGTAACATTCCTACTGGATAGGCTTGGAAAGTCGCTGTACCGTTGTCGTTAACCTGATAGGCCTACAGGTACTGGTAAGTTACCGCGCAAGATTTCCAGGGAATTGATAATAAAATATTTCGATTTACTCGCCGTGGTTATATATATTTCAGCATAGCTCCTTGTCAACTTATTCGCTTAATCATAAATGGGTAAATTATGCAATAAAGAACGACTGGTTTAAGAGCGTGTACCTATGTTATGTTCTGTTATAGAATTACTTGTATTAAGTTTGAGTAGGTAATTAGTATGGAAATATTTGTATTTTGTGCAATTTGAAGTCGGAGACTGACATCGGACGACTAATGTTTAGAGTATTCGCACACTTGCGGAATAAAGCAAAATATAACACACTAGTGGATAATTTATTAGCCAGAATCATAATTGTTTTTAACTTTTTGAAAAATCTGAGACCTATTTGAAAATGAACTGAAACAAAATCAGTGATAGCTATCTTTATTTATGTTTCTTATTGAAGCTTTTTTTGTTTGTAAAGATTCAAGTGCGTAATGAAAATCTTCGGAATTTTTAATATAAATCTAATTAGGTATAAAATATTGGTACTCCCGTAGTATGTGTGCGAGGTTAATGTTAGTTAATAATTTTAATTCAATTTTTCTTATTTACGGTAAGTTTTATTACGAGTTTGGAACCGTCTGTGTTGTGTTAATTAACCAAAAGAATACATCACCTGCCCATAACTTGATGTAAAGTGGGCAATCAAAATTAGTTACCTCCGTATTGGTACACATAATTCTGAAGTGCAAAAAATTGGTATGCCCATAACTTGATGTAAAGTGGGCAATCAAAATTAGTTACCTCCGTATTGGTACACATAATTCTGAAGTGCAAAAAATTGGTATATCATATTTAACTCAGGAAAAGTTGTGTATATTTGAAGTTGCAGGGTAAACACACACATATATATAATATTTCAAAAAGTCGTGTAAGGCAGTGGTTTCCAACCGCTGGACCTAGTACCGACGTCGGACCGCGCAGTTGTGATCTGCGAGATAATTGGTGACCGTACATTCGAACCCATGTACATTTGAACCATGTACATTTGAACCCATGTGTATATCCGCGGGTTCAATCTATATGCCGGTGCTAAAACTCATGGGTTAGGGTTAGTATGGGTACAAATATCCGTAAAACAAAATAATTTCCATAGATGGAATAGTATGCAGGTGCAATTGTCGTGGGTTCAGATGTACGTGGGTTCATGTAATGATACCGAGAAAATTTGCTACTTGTTTGTCAGCCAGCGTAACCACTGAGTGGCCAAGAAAACTAATGGCACTCAGTTTTAGTTGGTAAATCGAGCGTTTGAGAATAGTGTTAATTGCCATCCCAATTTTGATGTTCTATTTCACAGGTTGAAATTGCAGCCCGGGAACTAATTTTTGTGGTCTCCGAATGTTAATGCAGACTTTTAATGCAGAAAACATGTTATAAATTTATTATTGTCTCTACACGGATATATTTTTCACTGGTAACAAGTGCTGCTGTAAAGCGCTTTTGTATTTAGTAGCGTTAGCGGTATGTTGTTTACTTGATGTTGGTTGTACTCATAAGTGGAGTTTATTTTGCATTTTAAAATTATGAAAACTTCCGGGCACGAAAGGAAATTTGTGATGAGGGCCGTGCTTGGACGGATATTTTTTTCCTGCTGCGCCACTGCTCATCTATGTCATAGTGAAAACGTGCAATGTGCACGTCGGAAACACATATTAATGTGAGCAGCTCTATCTGAAATGCATTACACTCAGAATAAATTGCGTACTCGCTTGTCAGATTGTCATTTGGACGACGGCAACCTGGTTTCAATTCGATTTCAACGCTTTGGCCATGGCAAAGAAACGAAACGTCATCTCAAACATTGATTAAAATTAAATGAAAACAGTGCATTGTTTGATAGAATATATATATTAAAAAAGAACAGTAGGTGCGAATGCACCATAATTTGAAGTTTATGGTTGCAATCGCAGGTGGAAAATATTTCGTTCCGCACGTGGTAAATGTATATATTGGCCGGCGAGTACACGAATTTTGCCGATTGATGTTCCAATTTGTCGCCATTGTTGAATTTCAAAACAGTGCCATACTTCACTTGTGTTGCGCAAATCTTACTCCTATTTTTCTTCTATTCCTGTATGCTAGTGGATCCGTATGCGTATCCTGCTGCACATTAACACAAATGTATTTCTGTAGCATTTGGTCCGACCAAAGGCAGACTTCCCCGGAAAAGCATCTCTCGAATTGGGTCTCATATTTTACTGTTTCTATTTATATATGCAACTAAAACTAATCAGTTCAACTTAGGTTTTTTGAAAGATTACAGATTTATCTAATATTTTAACATAAAATTATGTAGGACAAGTGCTAAATTGATAATTGTTTTCAGATGTCAATTATTTTGT